ATCAAAATTCACAGACAAGTGCAAGAAAATTTAATCATTACCAACAAAAGTGCAAATAGGGCAAAAAAATAACATAGAACAGTTGAATAAAATCAATAATTTCAGCAAACAACCAATAGCAGTTCATAGTGTCAATATACATTCAGTTCAACTGCATATGCAATGAAAATATAAAAAAAAAACAAATTGCAAAAGTGCCTCTTTCAAAAGTGATGCAAAAATGATGATTACCACTAAAAAGTCTTTTTTTATTAAATACAAAAGGTGTTGTTTCTAATGTTCAAACAACATATAGTAACACCATTTCATAGCTATTCCCTTTATTCGGTCTCTCTCTCACCACACCCTCTGTTAGGGCTTCAGTTCAATATTCACTGAATGCCACATAAAAAGAGGACCTTTCAGAGTGTAAACGCAACACATCTACTCATTAAAAACATTAAAATTACCCTCACAAGTGCTATACACACTCAGAGAATAGGTGCAGGAACCTACCCCGTGCACAGTCCCTTGGTTCTACCTCCTTCCCACCTCCCAGTACTGCTCCTAGGCTCTGTTCACACCTACTGCAGTTTGCTTTTTGTAGATTTTGCAGTGCTTTTCGCAGTTCCTTTTGCATTTTTCTGCACAGGTTTTTGATGCATTTTTTTACTGCGTTTTATTCAGCTCATTTTTGTTTGTTTTTTTTTAAAGTGGAATTTTTTTTGTTGCTGGGCAGAATTAAAATGCAAAACACAAAACGTGGCAAAAATGCAGCACCATGCATTTCAGCAGATTCTCCATTGAAATCTATTGTAGCAAAAACGCTGCTTTTTGTTTTTAAAAAAGTCCCAGACCCTTTCCAAAAACGCAACAGCTCAAAAAAACATAGATGTGAGCATGTTCCATAGGAAACCATGTTAAATGGACTGTGGTGCATTTCTGCAAAAAGCAAAAGGCACTAAAAAACGCATTGGTGTGAACGGAGCCTTACAGAGAATACTTGGCCAAGTATCATTTTGTATGGAATTTGTTAATAACAAGAAAAGCAGTAAAATAGATCCCTTGCAGGCAGCAGGATTAGACCCCCCCAAGCAAAAAAAAAATACAACAACAGATCTCCCAGCAGCTAGCATCGATACACTCTTCATAAGCCAGCAACAACAGACCCCTCCCTCAACAGTAGATCTATTCCAGCAACAATAGATCCCACACCAGCAACAATTGACCTAACCAGCAACAATAAACCATCATGCAAAAATAGATCCCTTCCAGTGACAATAGATCCCTTGGCAGCCAACATCACTAGACCTCCCACCACCCCTTGCTATTACATACATTCAGTGTTGGGGATGCCCAGACTGCATTCCCCCGCGTTCCCACTGAAAAAAGCCCTAGCTATACTAATAGAATGTGTTGTGCTCAGCTAACCCACTCACACTTCTGAATTGCATAATCATCTTAGCATGTCTCTGCCCACTTAACGCGTTTCATAAGCAACAACTTCATCAAGAGTGGAGTCAAACTTCTAGGCACCCGGGAAATATCATCATCATCAAAACTTCTGACTCTGTAGCCACACTAGATGGACTCTGAGCCAGCCATAGATGATTCAAACCATGTATGGGCAGGCTGATTGTATCCAAGTCAATCCACTTGGGTACAACCAGCGTGTTGGATTCAGCAACAATAATCACTGTATTCCCCCGACAGGGACAGCTCTACATGCCAAATGGCCATCTTGCCGCGAGAACACAAGAGCTCCACTGGTTGCAGAAATAGCTTCTGTGGGTGCATGAAAAAAAAAACAAAACACTATCTATAACCTGCCCTAGAGAAAACAGTGCTTTAATTTTTTTTTTGTTTTGTTTGTTTTTTATACTATAGCCTACATCTAATCTCATACTACCTGCCAGGACAATCAAGACCACAAGCATCTTCCAATGCTAATATAACATCCTTGAGAAGACTAATGTATGGTCAGTTATACAATAATGTATGATGCATTTTACCAATATGTAAGTAAACGATTTATGACTTATCAGAACTCTGCTAAAGTTTCTTAATAGCAGGTAAAAGTTTTTATGGAGGAACACAGAGCCTCTAAGTGTAGACTGTAAAACAATTTATTAGTTAAAAGGTAAGTATATCAACTCACATCTTCATACGGTAAAACAGGCTCCTAGGAATAAGGTGCAGTACGTTTGTCTCCAGGTGTGGGAACAGCTCTGGAGAAGAGGATCTCGGCTGGTCAATAGGAGGCGCTGTAATGGGAGGCATAGATGGTGAAGCCTGCTGGGTCTCTAGTAAGTCCGGAGCTGGTGGTGTTGGCGTCTGACATCATCGGGATGTGACGCATTTCTGAGCATGCGCAGGGACCAACGTGGACCGGCATGCTCTTTCATCAGGCATAGGTCAAGATGCCGACATTTGATTTTTGAAAATTTTTCACTGGACATGTTTAGTAGCAAAAAGTCAAAAATATTGTTTTTTGCTCAAAATTGTCAGACTTTTTTTCTTATAGCGCAATAAATAAAAAACGCACAGGCTATCATTTACCACTGCAAGAAAGCTCTATTCGTGGGAAAAACATTATGTAAATTTCATTTGGATGCAGCATTGCATGACCGCGCAATTGTCAGGTAGCCTCCTTAGCAGTCTGATTATGTCAGTATTTCTGTGCTCAAAGCGGTACATTTTTTTGCATGAAAATATGTATTTTTCTTATTGTAGGCCTGTGATTTTTAGGAATAACTCACTGAAATCTGTCCGAACAAGAGTCTAGTAAACATCCCGGGTATGTTAAAATTTGAAACATGGAATCATAAATTATAATTTAAGAAATAATAATAAAAAATAATAATATCATAATAATAAATTTAATTCAATAATATAATCAAACCAAAAACACTGAAATTTGAAATATAGCGCCAACTTCGCACATCACTAAGCAAAGTCGCAAAATCGTTTTCAGTGTCTGATGACGAATTTCCCCACGAATCATTATCACTCAATTCTGCAAGTGGTTCTAATTTACTATCGCTGTTCTCTAGCTGGCCTAAAACCACTTTTGACCAAAAGGGACGCTTTTTGGACACCATGAACATTTCTCAGTTTCCAGGCAGAAAGAACAGTAAAAATGTAGGCAGGGCACAGGACAAAGCACTTGGGACAAAATGTATGTGAAATGGTTTGATACAGTAATGTTTTACTATGTGATTTTAGTGTATTGAGTGAATGTCACTTTTTCACATTTTTAAATTTACCGCCGTTCCGTCCCTGTAAGTCCTGATGTTGCAGGGGACGGAACCCAGAAGACAGATGCCGGCATCGGCCAGAGGACATTGCTGGGGACACTGCAGGAGGGTAAGTGAAGAAGAGATCCCGGAGCAACGCTGCAAGGTATTTCCGAGTGTAGCTCGGGGTTACCGCTTGTGGTGCTGAAACTTTACCCCGAGCTACACTCGAGAATAACGCCAGGGAGGTTAAAGTAACGCAGCGCCGTAGCGCAAAAATGCTGCAAAATGGCCTGGTCAGGAAGGGGGCTAAATCCTCAGGAGGGCAAGAGGTTAAAGTTCATGTACATGCAAAGGCAGGCATCCCAATACTTTTGGCAATATAAACAGAAACAAGGAAATCACATTGCTTTTCCCTTTACTTTCTATGTTGGGCAGATCTTGGCAGTCTTCAAATGTAAACACACAGAAGTTGTTTCTCTCTTAATTGCTAGTGTTCCAGCTAGTTTTCCCAGCATCAGGTCCACCAGTGTTTCTAAGTGACTTTGTGATGTGCCCTTTTAAAAATTAACATGAGTGGACACATCTGATACTCGCAGTTGTGCTTTCCTGTGCACCTTAGTAAATATGGTATATACGAGCTGCACAATAGTTAGCCACACATGGAGGCAAATCATTTAGTATGACACATTTCTGCTAATGTCTGGTGTTCAGTTGGCTATAGGAAGAGCTATTATATTTTGCTATAAACAGCAAATAAGGTGATTTTAAGCAGCGACTCACTTCCTGAGGTGGCTAAAGTTTAAGTGCTTAGCTCGTAACATAAATTTCAAAGCACAATGTAGCCAAGAAGTTTAATGATCTTGCAGATCCATGGTCATGATTCATACACAATTTCTAAGCTCTAGGCAGCTAACAGAGCCTTACAGTGTGTGGATACAACTTGCTTATGTTAGTACAATGTTAACTTTGTCTAGAAAGGTATAATGTACTAAATGTTTGTGTATATATTTCAGTTGTTTATCCCTTAGCCCGGGTTCACATATATGCGGTGCGGTACATCGCATGTGATTCGCACAGGAACCGCAACTGTACCAATTGTGTGCAGTGCGATTACAGCCATACATTTTGTATAGCTCCAAAAAGGTGCAGGACCCGATTTTTGGCCCGCACTAGAATTGGATTGCATTGGGTATACACACCTATGCGATCCAATTCTGCACATCGCACCGCCCAATTTTGGGGTGTTGTTAACCTCTCTGGCGGTATGATTATTTCAGATTTTTGGTGCTGAAAGCGGTACCCATTATTTTGCATGGAAATTTGGCGTTTTATATTGTAGGCCTGTAATTCTTAGGAATACCTCACTGAAATCTGTCCGAACAAAAGTCTAGTAAACATCCCGGGTAGGATAAAACTTGAAACACAAAATCATAAATTATAATTTAATAAATAATCATAAAAAACAATAATATAATAATAATTTTAATTCAATAATATAATCAAACCAAAAACACTGAAATTTGAAATAGAGCGCCAAGTTCGCACATCACTGAGCAAAGTCGTAAAATCGTTTTCAGTGTCTGATGACGATTTTCCCCACGAATCATTATCACTCAATTCTGCAAGTGGTTCTGATTTACTATCGCTGTTCTCTACCTGGTCTAAAACCGCTTTTGACCTAAAGGGACGCTTTTTGGATGCCATGGACGTTTCACAGTTTCCAGGCAGAAAGAACAGTAAAAATGCAGCAGGCAGGGCACAGGACAAAGCACTAGGGACAAAATGTATGTGAAATGGTTTGATACAGTAATGTTTTACTATGTGATTTTAGTGAATTTAGTGAATGTCACTTTTTGTCATTTTCAAATTTCCCGCCATTCCGTCCCCCGTACGTCCCGACGCTCGCAGAGGACGGAACCCAGATGACAGATGCCGGCATTTGCCGGATTACATTGCCGGGGACACTGCAGGAGGGACATTGCGGGAGCGCAGGACAAGGTAAGTGACCGAGGGATTGCGGAGCACCGCCGCATGGTAAGCCCGAGTGTAGTGTAGCTCGGGGTTACCACTTGTGGTACTGAAACTTTACCCCGAGTTACACTCGGGAATCCCGCCAAGGAACCTACCTTAACATACTCACCCGCAGAGGTTCACATGAATGGGGTGCGATTCTGATGCGGTGTGGAATTTGCACAGAAAACGCTGCAAATTCCACACCACATCAGTGTGAACCCAGGCTAAATTTCACTACAACCTTATGTGCTAGCAAAGTGGTGGTGGAAGACATACTCAACAGGTTTGTAATATTTTGTTTTAAATAAAAAATACATATTAAATGGGAGAACTTCACACATCCTACGGAGTTTAGCCAGTGCTGTTTTTTGTAAAATCTTTTATTTATGTAACCAAAAAAATGTACCAAACATCATACAATAAAGAATAGAAAACATTCATACTGATATTATAATAAGGCATTTGTCATGTATTTAATGCATAATGTAATCAATAAAGCATGTTACAATATCTTTAAATTGTTGTAATTTTTCATCATGATAGTGTTTTGAACCTCTGTCCCTGTGGGTATCATGGGTAGGAGGAAATGACACAACTCTGGTTATGAGTGGGGAAGGTGGAAGTGACCTGGAAGTATAGGAGTGGGAACGGGGGATGGTACTGGGTGGGTGGAGGGAAGGTCAGTGGTGGAAGAGAGCAGAAAAAAAAGAAAATAATGTAAAGAAAAGAACAGGTAGGAGGGGAGGGGTGGAGTGGAAGAGAAGATAAAGAATTAAAGCAGAGTTCCACCCAAATGGGGAAGTTCCACTTTAATGCTTTGTCCCCCGCTCCCCATTAAGGATTGGCACCTTTGGGGAGTGGGTACCTGAATTTGACAGGTACCCGCTAGGCAATCGGAAGCGGAAGTTGTCCTCACTCCCCGTAGTCTTCTGGGACACGTGACAGGTCCCAGAAGACTACGGGGCCATTCAAAAAGTGCAGCGCTTCTCACGCATGCGCACTGGGCACCTGACAGTGAAGCCGCAAGCTGTCACAGCTGGATGCCCACACTAAAGATGCTGGTGCCAGGGAGAGCAAACGGCCAGTGAAACCAGTGGTGGTGAGGGCACCTCTGGACCGAGGGACAAGTAAGTAGCTGTATTTTAAAAGTCAGCAGCTAGTTTTTGTAGCTGCTGACTTTTTATTTTCAGCTGGAACGCCGCTTTAAGATATCCCTCAGGTGTGTGCAAAGGACTGATGTAAGAGTTCAGGGGTCCCTATAAAAGAATGGCTTTACCTTCATCTGAAACTGTGGAGTCAGTCCAGAAAAACACATTATTGTTTCATGACTGTTGTGGGAGGAGAAAATCAGGTCTTCCCATTATTTGGATATACTTCACCCTACACAACCACATTAAAATTGAGCAGGGGTAGAATCTCTCCATTTCAGGTAAGTACAAGGTTTGGCTGTGTTTAGGAGTTTGTGAAGAATAGACTTTGAGGTTGATATACTAAAACTGGAGAGTGCAAATACTGGTGCAGCTGTGCATGGTAGCCAATCAGTTTCTATCTTCAGCATGTTCAAACAAGCTTTGACAAAAAAAAACTGGAAGCTGATTGGTTTCTATACAGAGCTGCTCCAGATTTTGCACTGTCCAGTTTTAGTAAATCAACCCCTTTGTGTTGGTCTTTTTGGTGATGGAGTAGGAAAAAAGCAGAATTTGTGGAGGACTTTAGGAGTTATGTGCAAACTAGACAAAAGTTTAAAGTTGGTTTCTTGATACCTGATATATATGGAAGATGTGTTTGGCTCCCCTCTTGTCATAAGATGTTTTTGCACAGAATGAAAAGGGGCTGACGTAGCATGCTTGGTTGAACGCGTAATGTTTCAAAGCTGTAACAGACCATCTCTAAAACCCAATTCAAATTTGAGGTAAATATATTATTGGGTAAAGAGGTGAGCATGATGAAGAAAGGAAATGTTCCTGGAAAGCCTGAGAACAGATTGTTCAAGTGAGATCCATTTTTTGATGATTACATACCTAAACCAGTCTCCGGGGCGGACTGAAAACTCATGGGGCCCCCGGACAATAGGGGATCATGGGGCGCCTGTGTCCTCACCCACACTCAAACCACACCCAAAAAATCCTAAGAAAGGAACCAGGGGCATCTCATGGGGCCCCCTACTGACCCTGGGCCCTCAGGCAGTGCTCGAGTACCCCAATGGTCAGTCCAACCCTGACCAGTCTATCAATCTAACAAAGTAGCAGGCAGTGTAGTATTTGAAAATGTGAGGTAGAGCAAGGTCTCTTTGGAATTTGGAAAGGCTAGGAGTCCAGGTTTTGAGTCCAGGTCATTTGTTAGTGAATACACAGAATTGACCATTCACAGTTTGGATGGTGGACTATGAATGGGTATGAAGTAGATAGAGGAATTTGGGTAAAATGGCCATTTTTAGGATATTGCAAAAGCTGCACCATGAGAACAAACAAAAGTCTCAATTCTAGAGTAAAGACCACACTTTTTAAGAGCAGGGGTGGAAAGTTCTAGGTAAAGGTATCCTTCGGGTTTGCCAGGAGTACCCAGGTGTTTGTAGTCTAAGAAACTGACACCTTCTGTGAAGAAACTATGCATCCCACAATCCCTGGGTCGCTCCATCTAGAGAGATCACCATTCTGCAGTGTACATGAGCCCTTAGTGGACATTATCTCAACTCCCTACTCATACATCAAAGAATCCACCTGCAGTACACTCTTAAGGATGCAAGAATTATGTCAGAAGCAATAATGCTAAATGATATTTTCATATTTTGCTAAGCTATTCTTGTGGCCATCCAATCTGTTCAAGGAACTTTGGGGTTTAAGGTGATCCCCTTAGCTGACGTCATAATTTCTCTAATGTGCTATTTTAAAGCAAACCTTCAGCATCCACACCCACATTCCATCGTCGCACTCTCCTCTGTCACAACTGAACATTTATTTTTCATTATTTTTTTTATATTTTTTTTTCTTGTCTGCTCCAGCACTTTGAGGATTCTTTCCTCGGTGAGAATGACATCCCAATTGACTGAAGCCTCCTGGGATTCTGACATCACGCATTCCAGGAGGCCTCAGGCTACTCTACAATGTATGTACCAGTGCATGCCATCAGGGGGTCAGCTGTCTTTTCCTAGTTCTTGCAACTGGACCCCCAGTTGCTCTGTGGTGCACACAAGCCATCACTGAACCAGCTGCAAGAGCCCAGAAGAGATAGCAGCTCCCTGATGATGTAATAAAGGGCATGGTGGCCCATGTGTGAAGGCAGATCAGTGGATTGTAGCAGGAAAATGCCGAATTCACTGGACATGTGTATGAATTTTGAAGATAACTCAGAGACCAAGTTAAGAGAGGATGTTCTAGAGGCTGAACTGAGAAGATTCATATTTGGAATTTTCAACATTTATTAGGCCAGCCAATTACTGTTGGTGTGTTCCAGTGGATTGTGCTCAGTGACTAATGAGTAGAAATATAGGGGACTGATAATGAATGTTCTAATATACACATATACAAGTATATATATATATATGTATACTAGTTTTTATTGCAGTTCCTTTTTTTCTTCTCTGGAAATGTGAGTTGAAATATGTCTGAGGCGCAAACCCATCCGGCTAACTTCCTCTTTCAAGTATAAAAAAAGCATCTTATGGTCAAACCAGTTTGAACCAGCAACCGTCTATTTTGGACTGAACATGTGCTAGTAGCCTGCACTGAACTCTGAGTTTGCTGTTTAAACATATGAAGATTTGATTGTTTTAAAATCATATGACCATGCCTGAACCTTTGAACAATCACGCCTATACGTTATGTCCAGGGGCGGACTGACCATTGGGGAACTCGGGCACTGCCTGAGGGCCCGGGGTCAGTAGGGGGCCCCATGAGATGTCCCTGGTACCTTTCATAGGCTTTTTTGGGTGTGTGGTTTGAGTGTGGGCCAGGACACAGGCGCCCCATGATCCCCTATTGCCCGGGGGCCCCATGAGTTGTCAGTCCGCCCCTGGTTATGTCTATATATGTAATAGTCTAAGCTTAAGAGACAGATATATATTTTGTATTACCTTAGTTCATCTCACGTGAGGTGAACTTTTGTATGTTATATTATCTTCACTGCAGTGTAATAAATGCAACTTTCTTTATCAATTTGGACTCGGCATCTCATCTAAAGTCTAGCTTGGAGACACCCCAATGTGAAATTACACTAATATTTGATTGAAATGCTCTCATGCTGCATCAATGTCCCAGAATAAGTGTTTCTGGCTACCTGTTATGTAGTGAAAATCCCTGGGATTAACCACCTGGATTCTGTGCTGTATGTCAATAGAAGAAGTTCTCAGAATCAGGGACATTGTAGGTACCTTAAACCACCCCCACCTGTCTTCCCCGCAAGCTAAATGTAAAATGACTCTTCAGAATTACTTAAAGTAACTGGCACTGGCAGATTGCAGTACCTGAACTTAAAAAAACCTTTTCTTTGGCCATTCTGGGCAAAGGAAGAATGCCCCTTAACCCTGCATGGGTAAAGGAAAGGGTCCTTTTAGATAAGAAGACAGGAACTGTGTTCAAGTGTAATTTCCTCCCTCCCTGGGAGTAAGGATGTTACATATATTTCAAAGCCCACGCTGTCAAGTTGGGTAAATTATACCTTTTGGTGTGGTATCTAGAGGGTCCAGCTGTCTTCAGAGCGAAGGGGATATTATCAACCACTCAGCATATTCCCCTACCTTAAATTATTGAATATGAAAGGAAAAGTATTAAAGTGTTACTAAACCCACAACAGTAAAATCAGTCTGTATGCAGTAAAGCATGCTTGCTATACTCACTGTGGAACCTAAGGGGTTAATCCTCAGCATTGTGTAAAAAGGATGCTTGATCCTGATTTCTATGATCCTTCTCTTCTTCTTCTGTTCTCAATCCATCTGCTGATAGCACAGAGCTCTAGGAGATGCTCTGCACATGCTCAATTCAGTGTGTATTGCTAGAGCGTTTTTTGGGGGGATGGTGCATGTGATCAGCACAGGGACAATCAGCACTGTCCAGAAGGAGGGTCAGGGGTTATGCAGCCTCATAGGACAATCAAAACAGAATGAAAAATCACCCTACAAGT